AGCTGTCAAGCTATTCCTGAGCCCTTCCTGAGGACAGTAGTGAGCCTCGTAATTTCACAGAGAACAAGCTGTGTCACACTGGTTTGAATTCCTTTTTTGTGCAGGAATGGTAGACCAGTAGACCTTAGGATACTGTGGAAATGGATTTCAGAAAGACTTTCATGGTACATTTACAGACAAGATGCAGATATAGGATAGCCAAGTCAAGAAATTAGATAAATCCACAATTGGCTGAATGATTGTAACTGAAGACTGATTAATGGATTCATCTCAATATGCTTGGAAGTCTCAAAAACCACAGTTTTATCTGCCAATCTGTTAATTCAGTTCGAATCAAAAGCACTTACTGAGGTTCCCCCATGTGCCATGTACTGCAGTAGGCTTTGGGAACACAAAACGGGTAAATAGGAGCTCATGCCTTCAAGGAACTCATTCTGTCCCGATAAACCTTTGAACCAGAGGTGTCTGTCCATGCTGGCACAGAACCAAATTGCCGCATTTACGAGTGACACAAAGCTGGAAAGGATAACCAGAGTGTTCTTCTCACACACACGCCTCACAGTCTCTGCAGCCCAAAGGCACAGGGCCTGAGTCCTGGCTCCTGCCGGTGCCACTCAGATCCACTGAAAATTATCCCAGTTTAGTTAGCATCATATTTGGACCATGACTTCCTTGTAGTTATTGTTTGTTTGATTGCTGGACTTTGTTTGTTTTTCTGTCCCTGTACTACTTGCCTATATTATGTCCTCAATTTTTCCACGTCTGAATCATAACCCTCTTTTCTTTTATGTCCCTCATTGTTGCCAGAGCTTTCCACCGTCCTACCTCTGTCTGTAGCTTGCTGTCTAGCCTGCCGCATCCCTGGCTGCCTCGGGCATTCCTTGGCTGCTGTCTGGGACCGGACACTTCTCCTTTGTGGGGTTCTGTCCTTTCTTGCTGCTGCTCTTCACTGTCTGGCTTCTCTGCCAAACTTGAATAGTGACCAGGGTCGGAGACCTGGCCTATCTTGCACCTGCCAGATCTCAAGTCCCCAAGTCAGAACTTGACACAAACTAGATGCTTCATAAATGCCTGGTCAGTCAGTGGACTTGAAACCCTGTACTCTGCAAATGAGGCTATTTAGCCTGGAAAAGAGAAAGCTGAGGTGAGTGGAGTCATTGAGTTCAAGTTTATGAAGGATTTTCAGATGAGAAAAATTAGATTTATTTTGAGTGGTCCCAGATGGCAGAGCGAAGATGATTAGATAGAAGTTGTGGGAAGGCAGGTTTCTGTACTATGGAGGAAAACATTTCACCAGTCCTGGAATTCACTGCCTTGCAAGAGAAAGGTGAAGTGCCACCCTGGGAGTGTGAATACAGAGGCTGAGTTGGGGACACCAAGTGCAAGGGGCAGCATGTCTACGCTTCCTGCCCTGGCAGCTGTGGGGACAGGAGGGTCAGACTCACAGGATCTCTTCCAGGACAACCAATCAGCAAGTGGTTCTGTGGCTTTGTGACCATATTCTCTTCTTTTCAATCAAAATTACATTGCGGGACCTGATGTTTTTCCAAATTGCCCCTGTAGTTACAGTAAACTTGAAGGAGCTGAGCTCTAAATCTAAATCATTGCATAGGGGTGACGGCTAAGGAGACCACAGAGTGGAATGAGCAGACACAGACGGCTGGGAAAGCAGAGGAAGAGGAGAAGCATTTGGAGCTCATAAAGAGCTAAAACAGCTGAGGAATCAAGGAAGGCGGGCGTGTTAAGGGGCAGATGGACAACAATATCCAGACAGGATGAGGGCTGAGTGGCTCTTGACTCTAAGGCTGAGGTGGCCAGCTACTGCGGTGCTGAGGGGCCATGAGCCAGACTCCATTGAGATCTCCTAAACGCAGGCACCAGAAGCATTGTCCCTCTGCATTTGCTGTTTGCCACAGATGCCTCCGGTGGCGCCTGTGACTCTCTGGCTCCCTGCCACAGGGTGTCCCAGGCCACATTCCATCCAGGTGGCAGGCCAAGAGGCATCATGCAGGGTGGGTGGGCTACTCCTGTCCCTTTTACTGCTCCTCCGCCCCTTCAAATAAACCAAAAAAACCCAAACCCGTTGCCTTTGAGTTGATTCCTACTCATAGCGCCCCTTCAAATGCAGGTCAATAATTCATGAATTCCTGGGAAAATGACCAGCTGCAATGGAGATGTTCACCCAGAAGGCCAAGGCTTGCCCCTGAGATGAGATAGTTGGGCTTCAGAAATATACTTAGCAATAACTTGGTGCTTTCTGTATGCTTGACCCAGTTCTAAAAGCTTTATAAATATTAATGCACTCGTCATCACAACCAAAAGAAATAGGTGGTATTATTACTGTATTATTATTATCCCGTTTTACAAATGAAGAAACAGATTGGTTAAGCAACTTGCCCAAGGGCACACAGTTATTAAGTGGCAGGCTTGTTCAGAATCCACAGTCTTAAACAAGGCTTATTTTCATGGTAATCATAATTAAGGAGGGTTCTGTTGTTGTTGTTAGGTTCTGACTCATAGCAACCCTATGTACAACAGAATGAAACACTGCTGGGTCCTGCGCCATCCTCACAATCATTGTTATACTGGAGTCCATTGTTGCAGCCACTGTGTCAATTCATCTTGTTGAGGGTCTTCCTCTTTTTTGCTGACCCTCCAATTTACCAAGCATGATGTCCTCCAGGGACTGATACCTCCCGATAACATGGGAGGTATGTGAGATAAAGTCTCGCCATCCTTGCTTCTGAGGAGCATTCTGATTGTATTTCTTCCAAGACAGATTTGTTCATTCTTTTGGCAGTCCATGATATATTCAATATTCTTCATCAACACCACAATTCAAAGGCATCAATTCTTCTTTGGTCTTCCTTATTCATTGTTCAGCCGGGGAGGGTTCTAATACAATGTAATTCTCCCCCATATATCTCTTTTCATTCTATTCATTTGAAAATAATATCTCACATTTCTCTGTATTTCTTTACCTCCATGCTTTCTACATTATTTGATTTTCTGAAGGATGGTAGTTATTACTCTTTGCAATAGAACACTCAAATGTAATGGCCAAGATAAATTCAGAGGAGAATTTGACACTATTCAATGTAAGATTGAATGGGACATAAAAAAATGTTATCAGCATTGTTATGGATTGAATTGTGTCACCCAAAAATGTGTGTCCACTTGGCTAGGTCATGATCTCCAGTATTGTGTGATTGTCCACCACTTTGTCATCTGATGTGATTTTTCTGTGTGTTGTAAATCCTATCTCTATGATGTTAATGAGGCAGGATTAGAAGCAGTTATGTTAATGAGGCAGGACTCAATCTACAAGATTATGTTCTGTTTTAGGTCAATCTCTTTTGAGATATAAAAGAGGGAAGTGAACAGAGAGATGTGGGGCCCTCCTACCACCAAGAAAGGAGAGCTGGGAGCAGTGTGTATCCTCTGGACCCGGGGTCCCTGTGCTGAGATGCTCCCAGACCAGGGGAAGATTGATGACAAGGACCTTCCTCCAGAGCCAACAGAGGGAGAAAGCCTTCCCCTGGAGCTGATGCCCTGAATTCGGATTTGTAGCCTACTAAACTGTGAGAGAATAAACTTCTGTTTGTTAAAGCCCATCTACTTGTGGTATTTCTGTTACAGCAGCACTAGATGACTAAGATAAGCATTTATGAAGAATACCACTAGATTTAGATCCTACTGCTTCTTTTTTAAAAAACAATAAAATTAAGGAATTTGGTATTGATTCTGACTTGAATATTAAATATCATACTGGATTTTCCATATAATTTCCAAACCACTGGAGCTTGTTTCTTTCTTACAGGCCCGTTAAGCTCAGCTGTGGGAATGGGCTTGGCCACAGCATGGTAAATATGCAGAAGTCACCCCAGGTTTGATGGGCAGTTTGCTGGGACAGCAGTCTAAGGTCTGTGCATCTTAGACTGACGCCTTCCCTTCCTTGCTGTCTCCTCCTCCTGTGGGGAATTGTGGGACTCCAGGAGGCTGAGATCCAGGAAACACATTGCCTTGTCCTGTTTTTTCCTCTGTTTTACTGGACCAGGTTACCCACCCGAAACCCACTGCCATCGAGTCAATTCCAACTCATAGTGACCTTATAGGACTGAGTAGACCTGCTCCATAGGGTTTCCAAGGCTGTATGTAATCTTTATGGGAGGAAATCTCCAGGTCTTTCTCCCTCGGAGCAGCTGGTGGGTTTGAACCACCAGTCTTCTGGTTAGCAGTTGAGCACTTAACCACTGTGCCATATGGGCTCCTTGGGCTGGTTTAAAGACCTCAAATACCTTCTGAGTTAAACCATTCTCGTTGCTGTCAAGTCGATTCCAACGCATAGTGACTCTATAGGACATAGTAGAACTGCCCCATAGGGTATCCAAGAAGTGGAGGGAGGGTGGATTGAACTACTGACATTTTGATTAGCAGCCGAGCTCTTAACTACTGTGCCCCCAGGGCTCCACCTTCTGGGCATTCAACCATAATTAGCATAATTAATAGCATCAGAGATTCTGTTATTTAAGAAAACCTGACCACTGGAAAAACAAATCAAGCTTGGACTCTGTGCTATCATCCTGGCTTCCTGCTTTATGAATTATACAACTCACTTTTAAGGCCATTTTCATGTTAGGTTTGGAGAACTTGATAAACTCTCAAGAGAAAATCATGCAGTATTATACTCATGGAGTGATTAGCATCATAATCCCATAAAATGACATTGTGAGTTCAGTATTCAACAGAGTGCACGTTACCTACCTGTTATCCATGTGTCACTCGGAATGTCTTCTATTATGCATTTCTCCTCTTGTTCTGCGGCGTGGAAGTAAAAAGCAGTTGAAAGTGAAAAACAAAAACTTAGAAGAAACATCAGCACTTGCATTTCTGCTGCTTTCACCACTCCTGGTAGAACTTTCTCTGAAATGGATCAGTTGCAAATGATACTGTTTCTGGAGTGTTTGTGTTTCACTGGATCATTTTGTAAGATTGATTTTTGTGAGAAGTGACATATGGTGGCTACCCTTGGGCTCGGAACTGTAGCAAATCCCACGGAACAAGATAAAAAGACAAGCTGTGCCAACCTCGGGGCCTTTCCAAGCATGATGACATCAGAGTTCGTTCTGCGCAACTTGATCTGTTACTTTTTAAAGATGTTAAAATGTTCTGACATGCTCCAGAATGAAGCACTCAAGGAAACCCGGAGAGGCCAAGCATAGCAAACACCAAGCAACGAGGTACCCCAGGGCCATGCCTTCATGACCAGACTGAAGTGGCCATTTTCTGGTTGTTTCCACTGCTCAGGAGGAGGTGGGGGAGGAGAAAGTGAAAATGGTGTTATGGAGGATGGGAAATGCAAGGAGGAGGGAAGACAGTGCAGGAAAAGAAAATGGGGGTGTGCGATTGATGGACAGGAGAAAGGAGCAGGCTGATGAAATGGAAAGGTCTAGGCTAGGAAGAGGCGGTGGCTCCAGTTCTGACTAAAGCCTTACTCTGGACTAGCTGGATAAATACTGAAAGTCTCTGTGTTTCAGTTTCCTCATAAAAAAGAATGAGTTAAAACCACGCAGTGATCCTCTAGATGTCTTTAGTTCTGGCATTCTGGTCCCCCCACTGCTTCTTTTTTAAATCCTTTTATTTCATAGTATTTATAGACTCACAGGAAGCTGCAAAGATAGTACAGAGAAGTCCTGTGTATCTGCATCATCTAGATCCAATGGTGACATCTCACATAGCTAAGATGACAATATAACTGCAGCCTGAAACCAGACGTTTGACATTGACACAATGCAATTCACAAGACTACAGCCTTCACGTGGACTTCACTAGTTTTGCACATACTCATTTGTGTATGTGTGTGTGTGTACTATCATTAGAATGCTTCAGCAAGTAATTGCCAAAAAAATTCTTGAA